TGGTCCTAATGAGCATCAGAAGTATAAAAACCATATCCTGCCTAAACATCCACAAGAGATTAGTTTCGATGAAACTGTTAACATTTTAAATAAAATGTTCTGTGAACAGATGTCTCTATTTCGTATTCGGTATAATCGTCTACAACTGACTAGAGAAGCTGATGAGGATTATACTACGTATGCCGGAAGAGTAAATTTACAAGCGGAACGATTTAAATTAAACGTGTTAACCAGTAATCAATTTAAATGCTTATTATTTATCTCTGGTCTGAATTCTCCCAGCGACGCTGATGTTCGCATGAAGTTAATATCTCGTATGGAACATGACGAAGAAATGACGCTACAAACTGTTACTGGTGAGTGTCGACGATTAATAAACTTGAAACAGGATTCGGCTATGTTAGAAACCAAAAGTGCTGCACTGTCTAATCATTCTGTCCATGCTGTTAAGACGAGTCAACGACAAAAAAGTGCCAAAAGCTATAAACATCACACGAAAATTTCTAAACCTTCGACTAATTGTTGGCATTGTGGCGCATGGCACTTCTCAAGATTTTGCAGATTCAGAAATCATAGATGCACGGTGTGCAATAAACTTGGTCATAAAGAATCAGTTTGCCGGACTAGAGAAAATTTGAGATCAAAGCCAATGAAGCGTCCTCACCAGTTTCAAAAGAAATACATTAACAGTATATATTCTACACGGGCTCTAAGTATGGCAGATAAAAGAAGGTATGTGGAATTAGTGGTTAATGGTGTTTATGTCCGATTACAATTGAATACAGCGTCAGGTATCACATTGATCTCTAAACGAACATGGAATTTAATTGGTTGTCCACAAGTATTACCTACTGAGCATACTGCACGAAATGCATCCGGAGATATATTAAAGCTTGTCGGAATTATAAAATGCTCTGTTGAATTTCGAGATAACTACTTCACAGGGAATTGCTATTTAACGAACAGGCATGACTTAGACCTTATTGGAATAGATTGGATAGATAAACTAAACCTATGGGATGTACCATTGAGTGAAATATGCATGATGAAGTTCACAAATAGTCCCAGAGATCTACCCATGGTTCATGTAGCTAAGAAAGCCATAACGATAGAAGACCTCTTACAGAAACACAAGAAGTTGTTCCAGAATAAACTGGGATGTTGTACCATTGGAAAGGCAAAGTTATATTTACGACAGGATGTAAAACCTGTTTTTTGTCCAAAACGCCAAGTCCCGTATGCAGCCACCGATAAAGTTGACAAGGAATTAGATCGATTAGAGAAACTGGGTGTTATACAACCGGTTAATTATTCAGCATGGGCAGCACCAATAGTAGTAGTGCAGAAAGCAAACGGAACTATTCGCTTGTGTGCAGACTTTTCAACAGGATTAAACGATGCTTTACAAAATCATGGGGAGACAGAAGCCTATAATATGGGTTCGCGTAATGATGCCCATAATTCTGATGAAATTTCGCATAAAGATGAGAAAAATAAGTCGGTCGAATCAGATGGTGATCAAAAATCTAATGCAATTTTATTAGATGCCGATTCTCCTAGTTATCTAATATCCTCTAGTGAAAATTTTAATGAATTTGATGGAGATATTTCAGAAAAGCCGAATTCCGATAACCTAAAATCAAATATCGTTCATCATCATCTATTCATTTCTATTAGATTCTGCGTTCAATACGAGAAATATGTCCTAAATGAAGTCATACTAATTATATTTTGGAGATATGAGGATCCAACATTATTTCGTGGGGGAGGAAATGTTGGAGAATTTCAACTTACAGATAATTTTTTTAAAATCAGAAGCTAATCTTCGAATCTTCGAAAAAGGGGAGGTGTTATGTAGTAGTGAAGACATAAGTACGGGTAACTTGCAGGATCTACTATTGGACTATCATTCTCATTGTATAACTATTCGGTAACTAGATTTTCGAATCTTTATTTTGACCTATTGATTATTACTATATGATTTACTGTCCCTATGTTATGCTCAGTTTTATTGATTATTGTCTCCCACGCTTACAGCCTCATTTGGCCTGGTTTTGTACAAATATAATTTTCTATTTTATGGTGTGGTGTGGTCTGCCTGTCTGGTATATAGATAAAGTATGCTTGAAATAAACGATTCGCATTACAGCAACTGCTATTGGTGTTTTGGACTCAAGTGGACGGGTTAGGCGGATAAGGGCCAATAAGGACGCTAGATTACTCATACTAATCGAACGTCATTGTCACAGTGTGAAGGTCGTAGAAGTCGTATTCTATTGGTGGATAATTTACGCGAATTACCTCCTTGTTAAATTCGTAAGGTCATAACGAATCAGCGACGACCTTGATCAAGTCATAACAATTGGCTACAGTCTAGGTCAAAAACATAACAAATTGGCGACGGCTAGGTCAAGTCATAACAGGTCACACTTCATGTAGGTGATCAGTCTCAAGACCACAAGAGACAAATAACCTCGACTGGTGTTGGTATCATAACCAGTATGGAAAGTCTTCCAGAAATTGCAGAAAACCCTGCAATTATCCAAACCCAAAATCAACCGACACGAAAAGCGATTCGGGAAACTTCCCAGCCGGCACGCGTTAACGGCAACCATAGCTGGCAAACAAAGCTGTCTGTTATACATCACATATGTGATCATGAGAGTTCTCTACCTCGTCGATATTGGCGTAGAAGCTAGCGTTCTTCCTGCTAATTCTAACGACGATCGGCTTTACACATCTGTTTTAAACTTACAGGCGGCACACGGAAAGCCAATCGCCACATATGGTAAAATGTACGTCTACCTCAACGTGGGTTTACGCGAACCCATTCACTGGATCGTCGTTATTGCAGATGTTTCTACACCAATGATTGGTGCAGACCTCCTACAACACCACAGTCTATTCATTGATACGCGCAGACGGAGGCTAGTAGATTGAAACACTAATTTATCTGTTTGCATGACTTTTTTTCCGGTTGCAGATTATCTCCAGTCACAATTAGTCACACAATAGACCTAGTCCATCAACCATTACTCGATAAGTACTCTGGGACATTTCAACCGCCACCAAAATTGTCGTATGTAGCGAGCAATGTTACACATCACATCACGACTACAGGACCACCTGTATTCCCGGAAGCAAGTCGACTGTCTCCTGAAATTGCTGAGATTGGCCGAAAATAAATTCGACTACATGATAGAGTTAGGAATCATTCGACCACCGAACAGCCCATGGGCATCTCCTTTGCAAATGGTCCCTAAAAAGGACAGCAACGATTGGCGTCCAACTGGTGACAATAGGCGTTTGAATGCAAAAACCATACCCTTTGCCTCACATTCAAAATTTGACGGCTACCCTGAAAGGTATAACTGTCCTTTCTAAAATCGACTTCGTTAAAGCCTATAACCAAATACCTATGGCTTCTGACGATATTTTGAAAACCTCTATCATAACTCCCTTTGGACTGTACTAATTTTTGTGAGTGCCTTTCGGCCTAAGAAATGCTGCCCAGACTTTCCAAATGTTCATCAATGACGATTCTCGAGGTCTCAACTTAGTACATGCGTATGTTGATGACAGCTTGATAGCAGGTCCAGACAGAGAATCTCATTTCCAGCATCTGTACCTTGTCTTTGAACGACAGCAAAGGTATGGCATTACTGTAAACATTCAGAAATGTCAAATTGAAACCAACTTCTCAGATTTCTTAGGACACACTATTGATGCTCAAGGCATCCGACCTCTGAGAAGAAAAGTGGTGGCCACTCTAGATTACCCAGAACCAACCACCATTAAGCAGTCACGCATATTTAACGGCCTTGTAAGTTTCTATGGACGGTTCGTACCAAAATGTGCTTCCCTTATGAAACCGCTAACCGACTAACTCCATGGAAATGCGAAATCCACTAATCTGGACGACACTGCGCTAAAAGCATTCTGCACAGTTAAGGAACTTATCGCAAAGATAACCATGCTGACACATCAGGACACTCAAGCACCCATCAGTATCTCAGTAGACACGTCCCACTTAGCAATCGGAGAATTCTTATAATAATGGGTTGACCACTCCTGGCAAGCTTCAGCATTTTTCTCGAGACGGTTGCTAGACACTGAATCAAAGTACAGCACCTTAGGTAGGGGACTCCTAGCTATGTATTGTGCTGTACGGCACTTCCAACATTCTTTTTAAGGCAAAGAATTCACCCTTCTTACTGATCATAAACCTCTCACTTTCTCTTTAAGCTCGTCTTCAGTCAAGTACTCACCTCGTGAGTCTCGACAACTGGACTACTTTTCGCAGTTTACTTCAGATATATAACACATTTCTGGAGCAAACAATGTAGTCCCAGACGCATTGTTTTGTATAAATTCCTTGAAAAGTTTCCGAAATGAGTGTTTGGTCACATGATATTGACATATTTATACAAAACATCCCAAATTTTCCGACAAAACTAGAGTACTGTACGCAAGTAGCCAAATCGTGTCCAAAAAATATGGTTGTCAGTCTGGGTACATTAAACTTATTTTTAGAAGTGACCAAATAATAGTTTTGAAATGCCGATCGGTGTTCAGTTTTACCACCTTCCAAAGCAGATAGTTTATGAGGATACCTCAAAATTATCATATGCTCCGTAACAATCAATTTATAACGGACTACATTGTTTCCTATCAACACATAAGGCGTTAAAACTCCTTACATCGGCACGCTATCCAAGAGCCATCACTCAAAACACTCAAAGGAACACTAGATCAACCGAGATACTGCTGTCACCAGGATCAACTCAGATTATCTTGCTTTATATTCTTCTCAGACTGAAAAATGAAATGCATATCATTAGGACTACTATAGCCAAGTGACTATACTTACTTGATTAGATAAAACAAAAAGCAACGAACTATCACCCTATATGAGGGTCCGATTTCTTAGAAATAAACTTGTTTTTGCTAACACGATACACTTATTGGATATTGTAAATGTAATGCGCGTCAATACGTGTATTCGCAACTACCGCAGCATTCGAAGTTCATCAGCCGGACGGCTTTGAAAAGAGTCTGAATTTTTTTGCCGTGCCGGTAAGTGGTTTTTTATGATCTTACAAGGATTTAGCTCATGTTAGATTCTCGCTGTCAGTTACCTTATAAATTGCACACTTTCGACAGAAAAGACTATTGTTTTTCTTATTGGTCGGAGGTGACCCTTGCATTCCCAAACTCCCCATTTTGGAGAAAAGTTTGTCCGTTTTGAGTACACTTTGGGGGAACTGCAATAGAAAAATTTGAGGAAATGGCACAAAACCCCCGAATTTTTTTATAGCGGCTTTCCCAAAATAGGGAGATTGGGGCTGTACATATTTTTTTGTATCATGTCTCAGATTGACTACTTCGCAGTTTGCAAAGTTAAAGGGTAATCATTCGTTGTCTACATGTCTTTGGGGTCGACTCAGATTATTTTCAAGTGCGAATGTGCCCTTTTGATAGTGAAATCCCTAAACGTTTTCATCATCGAAAAGTTACTTAATGAGTAAAGTTGTTTATGTATGTGAGATAGACCAATAGTCTTTACATTGAATTCTGTGGTATTCCACTGAAACATAGTGCGTACGAAAAGCGTAATTTACCGTAGCCCTTTGAAAGGTGACTGTAAATCTGACTCGAAACGATCGGTCAGTAGTGTATCAATACCTATCTTCTTGAGCTTCGTAATAAGATAGGAGTGATTGATTCGACCTAATGCTTTCAAAACATCCAACTCTATTGCACCTGCTTCTCCCTTATAATTAAGGATGCTGGTCCATTTATTCACCGCGATCAACGTGCTTGTGATTTACGAGTGACCCCTCGTGAAGCCGTAGTGTTGAATTGCTAGAATGTTTATGGACTAGAGGTAATCTTATGCGCCACTATAGCTAAGCAGTTTTACAAACTGGAAAAGTACTGAGGAAAGTACTGCCAACTGGTAGTCCGTAGTTCCGCCATTCAAGGTTAGGCCCCCTATTAGGTTCAAGTCGTTGTTGAGCTTAATAAGCTAACAGTTTCTTGAGGTATCCTCATCAAGCTTCAGTGCTCTTAGAGGTATGAAGGCGGTTATCACTTCCCGGTTGTCCACACCATGGAAGAGTTATTCTGGAGTTACGTGAAGAGGAAATTTGGTCAAGGGTGGTCTTAGTGACCTGACAGCGTGACCGCAGTGCCCAAGGGACAACTGCTTGAGGTCGGTCACACACGACCTTTTGTGAGTAATTTTTGCGTTAGCTCCGTACTTGTTGAGACCTTACCGCCGGAGAAGGTTATCCGTGGGATAAGGTGAGGTGTGCATTTTTAGGGTCGACCTTTTCTAATATTACCCCTCCTTGTGGGAAGGCAGCATCGCTGTTATGCTATTTTTCTGGGGGAAACACGTTACTGCCGTCACACCTCTGTACAGTCAGCGGTGCGACTTTGCCTTCGGACCTTGGGTTTGCTGCTTTTAGTCTTACCGCTTATCAACCGACCTGCCTGGCATGGTATTACCTTGAGAAACGATTGTTCCAGCCAGTATATTTCGATTAGTTCATTAAGACAGGCAAATCCGATCACTACGTCAAAGTAGCAGCAACAATTGAGATCCACATCAACCATCAGCAGTGGTTATTTATCGTTCATATTTTTCGCAAAATGAAGGAATACAGTCAATGAGGTTAAGATGGAATTTTTTCGGTTTTATTGGTTACAGAGATGTCAAGAGATTGGCTAGTAATGTGGAGTAGTTCCTGTAGTTTTCAAACAAATACGCTGGTACGGCCGAGGGTGAGGAGAGTCAACTATCTCTCTCGAAATGCTCTCACATGGTCACGGGTGTACAGCCACTGCCAAGGAGGTCCTACTCACTGCCTTTTCACGGCATTACTGTTTTTAACGAAATTGAGGGAACGAAAAGCGAATGTCCAAAGCTTTAACCGAGTTGGTGGATTTGGAGGATCCAGTTAAAGGGAATTGGAAAACCCTAATTCCAAACCAATGATACACATGGGCTCCAGGATGTTGAAGGAAGAAGTGGCGTATGAACCTAGTGTTGGTGACCGGCTACCACGAGACTGCATCTCCTTACGTTGTTTCACTGCCTTGTGGATTAGACCTTCAGGTAAAAGGCTCGAGAAGTGGCCCTTTGTGAAAACCACCTACTTCAGTTTGGGCACCCAAACAGTATCACAGTCCTCACACAAATCAAGTGACTTGTGTGGCGCATATGTATTCGGTAGCCCTTTGTACCAATGTGTTTATTTATTTAAACACATAAATGTTGGTACAAGGAGGCACCAGATATATATGCACCACACAAATCTCATTTGATTTGTGTTAGGGTTATGATACTGCCCGAGAGCCCAAACTAAAACAGATGGTTTTCTTAGGGAGCCATATCCGGAGCCTTTTACCTAAATGTCTGATCCACAAGGCAGTGGAACATCGTCAGGAGATTTAGTTCCATGGTAGCCGGTGACCAATAATTGGTTCATACGCCATTTGTTCCCTCAGGATACTGGAGCGAGCCCATATGCACCATTGGTTTGGAATCAGGGTTTTCCATTTCCCTTTAACTGGATCCTCCATATCCACCAACTCTTTTAAAGCGCCGGACATTCGCTTTTCGTTCTCTCAATTTCGTAAACAACAGTAATGCCGTGAAAAGGCAGTGAGTAGGACTTCCCTGTCAGAGGCTATATACGCGTGTCGATGTGAGAGCATTTGGAGAGGGATAGTTGACTCTCCTCACCCTCGGCCGTACCAGGGCATTTGGGGGCCAATGTGTTTAAATAAACAAGTTACAGATATAATACGAAAGAATCCACATTTATCTTTCTGCGATACATTCCTTGTATAATTCTAAGTGATGTGAAAAAGAGTATTATTTTAAATTAAGAGTGGTTTCACAGGTTTTGAACTTAACTGGATAATAACGAACTTGCTAAATTTCGATTCATACTGTTTTTTTTCTGTCTTGTTCTTTGTAGATCGCATACTTGGCCAAGAATTTTCATTCAGCTTCCAGCTTAAAAACTACCAACTCAGGGTTATTGGATCTTTTAGGGGAAATCACTCCTACTACAGTCCTATCCAGTCTCTCTACATGACACATGGACGAGATTATTTTTGTCAACGAACCTCCCAGTTCACTATTAAACGCTGCATTTAATGCTGTTTCCGAATATGAAAATATTTGTCCGAAACGTCTAAGTTCTTGTGAAGTCATTAAGCTATATCCATTGAAGCCTTCTAAAGACGTTTGTTTTGTGCTTGCCCGCTTTGACGGTGAGTGTTACGACCATCTTCGGTCACTTGGAGTATCAATTTATGGGCCACAAGTCATTCTTCATTACGTAAGAGAGAACAAGCCGTTACCAAATCTTCCGTATCCCCTGTTTTCGACGGCCCTCCTTAATGCCACTGCCACAGTTACATCCGTAACTGGAGCCCAGAGGAAGCAAATATTCGATTCAATACAAATGTTGCATGGTTCTGTGTCACGAGACTTAACAGATAACGTGAATGTCATAGTTACGGCCAAGGTTGGTTCCAAAAAATACTTGGTGGGCGCTAGCAGAAATCTCCATATTTTGCTTCCTGACTGGATTACGGAGGCCTGGCGTCTTTCAGAGATTCAAGATCCTATAGATATGATGTTAGGGATTTACACTGAGAAGTATCGCGTCCCAATCTTTTCTCAGCTTGTTATCTGTGTTTCAGGTCTGTCTGTAGAGGAGCGTAAAGAGGTATCTGATTTAGTCTCCAAACATGGGGGGAAATACTCAGGTGTAATGAAAATAGGTGAGACGACGCATTTAGTAACTCGGCAAGCATCAGGAACAAAATATGTTCATGCTAAAAAATGGAAGATACAGATAATAAGTATCAAGTGGCTTATCGACTCAGTAGATAAAGGATATGCTCTTGATGAGGAGGATTATCGAGTAGACCAAGCTAAGACAAAATCTTCAACACCAACTCCAAACACACAACAAAATGAAATCTCCTTCGATAATATATCAGCGATTAGTTATGTTGGTGCTGCTTCTAAGGTTGATGAAACTCGAAGTGTATGTTTCAGAGAGAGTGCGCAAGTTGTTAGTATTCAAAGTGGTAGTTCTATCCTTTCTGGTTGTTCAATTAGATTCTCTGATTGCAAAAAAGATGAGGTTCATTTGTACTCGTCAATTGTTAGGGAGTTAGGTGGAAAATTATGCACAGAATTGTTTGACCAAGTTACAGAAATGCTAACTCACGTTGTTGTTGGAAGTATTCCCAGCTCCAATAATATGTCGAGAGAAAAAGGTGTTAAATACATCAAGGGAGCGTGGCTACTTGCATGTCGGGATTCAAAAGTTCGTATTCCGGAGGATGAATATCTCATTTCCGAAATAAACGAAAACTTTCAAAGGCTTGAGGATGAAGTTGACGTTACTTCAACAAACATAGATGCAGCTGACTTCCAGTTAATTAACCAGTATTTTACAGGTGGTCTAGCAGATGATGAATTTCAGGATGAAGCTGTTGAAACAAGAGGGGTCATCCAAGGTTCTGATAAAACTTCAATCAGACCTGAAATCGCTGACGAGGTTAAGCATCCAGAGGCTTCTGAAATATCTCATCTTGGTGGGTGCTTTTCAAACCTTGTATTCTCTTTTCACAAAGAATTAAGTGATGCAGATATTATCAAATATACTGACATAATTAAAACAGCTGGAGGTTGTATCTCCGACAATGAACATAATGTGAATTTCTTAGTTACTCCATTTTTCGTCACTAACCTTCCTCTCATTAGTTCTTGTGAATTTGTTACTGTCGGGTGGATTTCGTATTGTATTCATGAAAAGAGTCTTTGTTTGCAGGAAATCAGGAAAGAATGTGCATTTAAACCTGTGTTACATAAACCAGGCCCACCACCGTTATCTGGATGCGTCATTTCACTAAGCGGTTTTGTAGGCAATGATAGGGGTTTATTAACTTCATATGCTCAAGCTCTTGGGGCTGTTGTCCAGGAATGCTTCTTACGCAAGTCAGTAGCATCTAGGAATCTCGCCGCCAGTACTCATCTGGTTGCAGCTAAACCAGATGGACGGAAGTGGCCTGCTGCTCAACAATGGGGTCTTCCGGCTGTCAGTCGTCTTTGGCTTTATAAATGCGCTGAGACTTGGAGTTTAGTTAATGAATGCGAATTCCCAGTATACGATACAAGTAAGGATTTTAGAATCAGTAATAACGAAGATTTAACTGTAATTTCCGAAGAAGTAAAGGTCAGAGAGTGTGGCATGTTGAAAAATATTCCTAGTTTTCGTAAATCAGCTAATGGTAAAACTACTGAGAATCCCGAATATAACCTGGCACTTAGTAACCTAGCAGAAACAATGCAAACCCCTGACTGGCTTCAAGATTTTCGCGAAGGTCGTTCATCAAAATTAAATTCGTCACTTCATTCTTCAAGTTATTCATACAAACCGTCTCCAACTTTTTCTGTGCAAGTGTCCAGATGCCTGAAAAATGCAGTCCAAGAAACATCAGCGCTACCAAAAAGAAAGTTGGAACTTTCAGGTAATTACCGTCGGCTTTAGCAGACCAGTTTGTCTCTTTGGTTTTTGCCTTTTCATGCAATATCTACTGTATATTACTGGCCTAGTTTTCAAAACACTCGAATTACAACCAAGTAGATCTTGGGTTCCACTTCCACTCCAGTCACTTCAGTTTGAACAACTTATTAGTGTTATCATTATTCTTTTTTCAAGTAGTGTAGCTTAAAGCCGAGTACATAAATCTTCTCTTAGTAAATTAACTACCGGACATGACGTCTTTGTTAGCAAATATGAGTTGCGTAGTAAAACTATAAACGTCGGATGAGGTGGTTGCGTGAAGCCCTATATTTTTATTTACAAACTCAGTCTCTGGTTTTTAAGCATATAGCGATATTGTTTTACCTGGCAACAGTTGAAGAGAAAGTTATTCCAGATGCAAATAAACTATCACTACCAGCTAACACCAAAAAGACCAGTAGACGTCTGCTGCTCCTAAAACTCACACTAGCATATCAATATCTATGTCGATGGTTTCTATCTAAATAATGGATATTCAGAAGTTCAACTTAACAAACTCCATAGTAAATATTGATTAAAAGGTTCGACACAATTACATACATATCAGGGGAAGGTACATGTAGGTAGACTATAGGCCCCTAACAGCTGATAAAACCTAGAAGCCTATAATTTCATTAATTTTAAGTATGTTCAAGGTGTCCTAATATGTTCTGGTTACCTCGTATCTTCAACCACATACTCCTTGGTCAGTGAAATCGAATAATATTAAGGGTGTATTTATATTATTTATTTAAACACATAAATATTGGTACAAGGAAGCACCAGATACATATGCGCCTCACAAATCTCATTCGATTTGTGTGGGGGCTGTGATACTGCCCAGGTGCTCAGACTGAAGCAGGTGGTTTTCTTAGGGGCCCACACCCGGAGCCTTTGACATGAAGGTCTAGTCCACAAGGCAGTGGAGCATCGTGAGGAGATGCAGTCTCATGGTAGCCGGTGACCAATAATTGGTTCATACGCCATTTGTTCCCTCAGGATACTGGAGCCCATGTGCACCAGTGGTTTGGAATCAGGGTTTTCCAACTCCCCTAGGTGGACTCGCCGTGTCCACCAACTCTTTTAAAGCGCCGGACATTCGCTTTTCGTTCTCTCAATTTTGTGAACAACACCCCTGGTGCGAGAAGGCAGTGAGTAGGACTTGTGTGGCAGAGGCTATATATTCACTGGCCATGTGAGAGCATTTCGAGAGGGAGAGTGAACTCTCCCCACTCTCGGCCGTACCAGGGCATTTGGGGCATTAAGGGTGTATACTCTCGTTGTTTGATAAAAGACGCTGAAAACACAATTATTACCCGATTAGTCGCAATAATTAGCGGTAAACATCGACCATGGTTGTTCTAAAGGTTATGAGAACTGAGATATTTTGATTTTTGTGAAAAAATTTCTCACGTTGTGGTTAAGTATTTGAATTTTATTTACGAACTTCTATTTCTCTAAGAGAGCCAGAATCTACCTGTGGTGCAGAATAAAACATTTTAGATGTAGCAGTAAACTACGTAAGCTTCTTTTCGCATTACTTATCCTACTGTCCCAGATTTTGCTAAAGATTCTTATAAGGTATACGCTCAACTTTCGATTGTCTTGTTAACATAAAACTTGTCATCAATGAGCTACTTTGGCTAAAACAACTTCTAGCAATTGTTAGATGCGATCGCTTTCACCTCAATAACGCTTTACAACCATCGAATTTCGTTATCCTTTTCTTAACGTTTTCGTCTAAGGGACTTGGGACTATTCTTCCACGTGTTCGTATCTAGCGTGATTTGAAGCTTCGAAATCCATTAGTTTCTGGTTGTTACATAAGTTGTAGATTAATTACACTAAGGCGCTGAGTATTTAGTTATTTTTAAGCTATGTGCTGGAAGTGAAGTGTGTGGTATCAATTAATTGTTTTTCAGATGATACTGTGTTTGATCATGAAACACTCAATTCAGTACCTCAATCATGTTTTAGGAATTCCACATTGCCCGTTATTTATTGATCCTGAAACTGAGTGAAAAAGGTGAAGAGAAAATCAGTTTGTTGGTCCATCATCATTCCTCAGCTGGAGTTCTGAAATTATGCAACTTAGTGGCTTGAGACATAGTCAGATATGGTTCAAAATAAATGTTAACGGCTATCCTCATGTAGTTTTCTACCAAACTTCATATAAGTGAGATAAACTCTAACTGGAACGAACCTTTTTTGGGTGTGCTTTTAACTGAACCGTATTTCTTATCAGTGCTGTTTGTCCCATATTTACTAACTGCCCCCAAATGCCCTGGTACGGCCGAGGGTGGGGAGAGTCCGCTCTCCCTCTCGAAATGCTCACGTGGCCACGGGTGTACAGCCACTGTCAAGGAGGTCCTACTCACTGCTTTCTCGCGGCATTACTGTTGTTTACGAAATTGAGAGAACGAAAAGCGAATGTCCAAAGCTTTAACCGAGTTGGTGGATTTGGAGGATCCAGTTAAAGGGAATTGGAAAACCCTAATTCCAAACCAATGATACACATGGGCTCCAGGATGTTGAAGGAAGAAGTGGCGTATGAACCTAGTGTTGGTGACCGGCTACCACGAGACTGCATCTCCTTACGTTGTTTCACTGCCTTGTGGATTAGACCTTCAGGTAAAAGGCTCGAGAAGTGGCCCTTTATATTCAGAGCCTCCATTATTGTTGTTACTCCAGCTCCTTACAATATTATCTCCCCAAAACGTTTGTATGCGAAATAAGACGATGTATTTTTCTATTGTACATTATTATCACCCACTTTTTATTTGGATCCAGATGACGAAGAGGATAGCTTGTGCTTACGAGGAGTTGTAATATGTGTGGCAAAACACTTAAGTTCTCGCCAAGTGGAGCTAAATGATATCGTGAAAAAACTGGGTGGAGATTTCAAGTGGACTTACAATCCTGAAGTAAGATTTCTTTAGGAGCTTAATTTAACTATGCAATCAAATATTGAGTAGTTTGACAATTTTTACCAATTTCCATATGTTTGACTGTTCTGTTTGTTGATCCAGCTCATTTACGTTTATCTAACTACATTATTATGCCCCAGGTTAAAAGCCATACTTACTTACTTACTTACTTTCGCCTGTTACTCCCAATGGAGCATAGGCCACCGACCAGCATTCTCCAATCCACTCTCTCCTGGGCATTCTTTTCTGGTTCTATCTAATTCTTGTTCATTCTTCTCATGTCTGTCTCTATTTCTCGGCGTAATGTGTTCTTTGGTTTTCCTTTTCTCCTTTGACCTTCAGGATTCCAGGTGAGGGCTTGTCTTGTGACGCAATTAGGTGATTTCCTCAAGGTGAGCCCAATCCACTTCCAGCGCTTCTTCCTGATTTCTTCCTCTACTGGAATTTGGTTTGTTCTCTCTCACATTAGAATGTTGCTGATAGTTTCTGGCTAACGGATCCGAAGTATCTTGCATAGACAGCTGTTAATAAACACTTGTATCTTCTGGATAATGGCTTTCGTAGTTCTCCACGTCTCCGTCCCATACAGTAGAGAACTATCTTGACATTTGTATTGAAAATTCTAACCTTGGTGTTGGTTGACAATTGTTTTGAGCTCCAGATGTTTTTCAGTTGTAAGTATGCTGCTCTTGCTTTGCCGATCCTCGCCCTCACATCTGCATCAGATCAACCGTGTTCATCAATGATGCTGCCCAGATATGTAAAGGTTTCCACATCTTCCAAAGCTTCTCCATCAAGTGTAATTTGATTGGTGCATATTGTATTGTATCGTAGAGTCTTGCTTTTCCCTTTGTTTATATTGAGACCTACTGTTGCTGAGGCCGCTGCTACACTGGTCGTTTTCTCCTGCATTTGTTGTTGCGTTTGTGATAGAAGAGCCAGATCATCCGCGAAGTCTAAATCTTCAAGCTGCATCCTACCTGCCCACTGTATCCCGTGATTTCCTCCAGTCGTTGACGTCTTCATGATCCAGTCGATGACCAGGAGAAAGAGAAAGGGTGTAAGTAAGCAACCTTGCCTTACCCCGGTCTTTACTTGAAACGAGTCGGTGAGTTGTCCTCCGTGGACAATTTGGCAGTTTAGTCCATCATAGGATTTCCGTATGATGTTGACTATTTTCTCAGGCACGCCGTAGTGTCGAAGAAGCCTCCATAGTGTCGTCCTGTCTACGCTATCAAATGCCTTCTCGTAGTCGATGAAGTTGATGTAGAGTGATGAATTCCATTCGATTGATTGTTCCACAATGATACGTAGAGTTGCGATTTGATCTGTGCACGATCTATCCTTACGAAATCCAGCTTGTTGATCTCGAAGTTGGGCGTCCACGGAATCCTTCATCCTGTTTAACAATACTCTGTTGAAGACTTTTCCTGGTATTGAGAGGAGAGTGATGCCCCTGTAGTTGTCGCACTTGCTGAGATCGCCTTTCTTTGGTATCTTGATCAGAAGTCCTTTTCTCCAGTCTATTGGTACTTGTTCTTCGTCCCAAATCTTACTGAAGAGGATGTGTAGTATCTTGGCAGTTGCTGCTACATTTGCTTTCAGTGCCTCCCTCGGGATGTTGTCTGGTCCCGCTGCTTTGCCACTTGATTTGTCTAATGGTCATGCTGATCTCTTCAATTGTTGGTGGGCCAACATCGATTGGGAGGTCTGTGGGTGCTGCTTCGATGTTGGATGGGTTCAGTGGAGCTGGTCGATTTAAGAGTTCTTTGAAGTGTTCTACCCACCTGTTTCGTTGTTCTTCAATGTCGGTGATTACTTAGCCTTCCTTGCTTTTCACTGGTCTTTCTGGCTTACGGTAATTTCCAGCAAGTTTCTTTGTCGTATCATACAGTTGTCTCATGTTTCCCTCTCTTGCAGCCTTTTCCGCTGTCATTGCTAAATCTTCCACATATTTACGTTTGTCGGTTCTGATGCTCCTCTTCACTTGCTTGTTTGCCTCTGTGTATTCGGCTTGTGCCTTGGCTTTTCCGCTCTGGTTCGGCTGGTATTGATTGCTGCCTTCTTGTTCCTCCTTTCTTCAATTTTATCCAGTGTACCAACAGTGATCCATTCCTTGTGATGGTGCTTCTTGTGGCCCAGAACCTCCTGACATGTTGAAACGATTGCCTCCTTGATACCTTTCCAGTTGCTCTGCATGGTAGTTCCCTCTCCATTGAGTAGATCATGAAAGGCCTGGAACCTGTTGCTGAGGGTTATGTTGAATTTGTTGAGTTTGTCAGCATCTCGAAGAAAGTCCGTATTAAACTTTTGTGATGTTGTTCGCGCCGTTGTCCAGTGCTTCTCGAGTTTTAGTTTCATCTTGGCGACCAGCAAATGATGATCGAATGCTATATCAGCTCCCCTTCTGGTTCTCACATCCTCCATCGTCCTCCTGAACTTTTTGTTGATGCAGATATGGTCGATTTGATACTGTGTAGTGTGATCCGGTGAAATCCAAGTGGCTTTGTGTATGTTTTTGTGTGGGAATATGGTACCACCTATGACCAGTTTATTGAAGGCACATAGGTTTGCAAATCTCTCACCATTTTCGTTCCTTTCTCCCAGTCCATGTTGTCCCATGACGTCTTCGTATCCAGTATTGTCCTTTCCAACCTTGGCATTGAAATCTCCCATCAGAATGGTCAGGTCCTTAGTTGGGCATTTCTCGAAGATCGACTGCAACCTGTCGTAGAATTGATCTTTAGCGTCTTCTTCGTAGTCGTTGGCAGGCGCATAGCATTGGATGACGTTCATTGTAGTGCCCTCTCTCTTTGTTTGGAAGGAGGCTTTGATGATCCTTGATCCATGAGATTCCCATTCTATAAGTGCATTTTGTGCTTTTCTGGACAGCATCAATGCAACTCCTTGTGTATGTGGGGCGTTTTCTTCTTCATGACCGGAGTATAACAGAAGTTCTCCTGAAGACAGTCGTTGTTGTCCAACCTGCGTCCAATGTGTTTCGCTGATTCCAAGAACCTCCAGGTTGTATTTTCTCATTTCTGCAGCAATTTGGAAGACTCTTCCGGTCTCCCACATTGTTCGGACATTCCATGTACCTATAAAAATTGTCGCTCTGGTTGTAAGAAGGTGCATCGTCCTCATGACTTCCGAAGGAACTTGGCTTTCATCATGAGACGTCATAATTATTCCTTCTACTCCCAGGGCAGAGTTTGAATGGTTTGAATGATTTTTTCTTTTTAGCGCTTTTTTAGCGAATTGATTTTCTACGGGATGGGGTCGCTAACCCCATGCCCAACCCTCCTCCTTTACCCGGGCTTGGGACCGGCAGTAACCCCTAGAGGAGCTACAGGCGGAGTTAGGTTAGAAGCCATAGGTAGTATTTAATCGATTAAAGATATTTTCTTGGAATTGGTTCATTAATGTATACTTGTGTGAAATGTTTTAAAGTTTTCAATGTACATTGTGGCTTTGTATTCACTTATCTTTATTTTTACGTAAATTAAGAACAATTCTCATAGTATAGTTGGTCCTGTTGATATTTTTCTTGTGATACCTTTGAGATGGTCAACCAATAAATTTAAAAAATGGAGACCTTTTGCTGTAAGATTACATCTAAATTATCCATATCGGGGTTGCTTAGTTTGTTGTAGTTATTACAATTGCTTTAGGTGTAGTGTGATTGTCATGTAAATTGACTGAATGGTTAAATGCTTAATACATCTCGCGAGTGCGGGATCGTGGATACGCACTGCTGGGGAGTCCCATAATAGGACGACACGGCCGTCCAGTGTTTCCAGGTTTTCGATGTTGATCTAGCTTCAATTAACTCATGATCTCAACTATATGTTTTTTTGATAATAAATAATAAAGAGTTCTAGTGAGAAGCAGTGACCAGTGGAGTTCAAACAAGTCTGTTGTAGAGATACCAACTCACTGAAGACAATTGGTGAATGGTTGCTCAAAATCGTGGATCGGTTGAAGTTAGACATTAACACCGTTGGATGCCGGCTTAGTGGTCTATCGGTTAAGCGCTCAGGCGCGAGACTGGTAGGTCCTGGGCTCGAATCTCGCGAGTGTGGGATCGTGGATGCGCACTGCTGAGGAGTCCCATAATTGGACGAAACGGCTTCCTGGTTTTCCATGGCGGTCTAGCTTCAATTGACTCATACTTTCAACCATGAAAATATTGTTTAAGCTTAATCCCCTTAATTTGAGAATCGTACTATTATTCAACCTTTTTTAAACAGCTTTTTGTCGGGTTAAATGATCATATTTTGGGATGATATCAAAGTTTATTGATGTTCACAAAAGAAATTACTTTCGATATCAATTATAATTGGTTAAAATAAGAAATTGGTGGGATTGGATTTCATATCCTTTAATTGGAAGAGAGGCTAGTGATATACTGAATAAATCAAGACGTATATTTCATATTTGACTGAAATTACGAGTGTAATCTCAAACTGTATACTTTCCCCGAAACTATTATGTAGTATCACTAGCACTTAATCAGTTCATTATCCTTTTCGCTTATTCTTGCTAGATTAGCAATAAAGATTGATCATTGGGCTTATATTACATATGACTAATGCAAAATGCACGCATATGACTATGTAAACATAAGATTAAAAACAATTTCTATGCCCTGATACGGCCGGGAGTGGGGAGAGTCCGCTCTCCCTCTCCAAATGCTCTCACATCACCACGCGTATATCGCCTCTGACAGGGAAATCTTACTCACTGCCTTGTCGTGGCATTACTGTTTTTTACGAAATTGAGAGGACGAAAAGCGAATGTACGTCGCTTTAACCTGGTTGGCGGACACGGAGGGTCCACCTAGAGGGGCTGGAAAGTCCTGATTTCAAACCAATGGTGCATAGGTACTTCAGGATCCTGAAGGAACAAATGGCGTATGAACCAATTATTGGTCACCGGCTACCATGGAACTGCATCTCCTCACGATGTTACACTGCCTCGTGGATCAGACATTTAGGTCAAAGGCTCCGGGTGTGACCTCCTAAGAAAACCACCTCTTTCGGTTTGGGCACCCGGGTAGTATCACAGCCCTCACACAAATCAAATGAGATTTGTGTGGTGCATATGTATTTGGTGCCTTTTTGTACCAGTATTTATGTGTTTAAATAAAATGAAAATAAATAGGAGCTTTGTGCTGCTCTTATACAAATAATCAATCCATTCTCTCTTAACACTATGGATTAAAAACTCGTTATTACAAAAAAAACGTGTGTTCAGTTAATAAAATAGCATTTCGTTTAGAATAACAATTTACCTACCATCGGTCTACATAAATGTGAGAAATTATAAACCAGCATTCATTTTCAAGTTATTGTTGATGTGCCAAATGGCTAAATTTATGGCTTCAATTTAAGTAAGATTAAAGTCACATCACATAATTCAACTCGGTGATTAGTTCTTCATTTTTCCAACATGACTTTAGTAATATATTTTGACTTTAAACTAATTAAAATAAAGATTAGTTGCTATCCTAGTTAGAACTTCTAAATGTCTTTTTTTAGTAACGTACTTTATTTTCCCATCTCATATAGATTTCTGATATTAAACCTGTATTCTTCTTAGCAATACTTACACTGCACTTATAACTTAATTGTTAACCAGCCAACTTGTTTTTGAGCCACGCAGTTTTTTGAGTGTACGGGTCAATTATACTACCTAGCCGCTCGAATTGGATGAGTGTAAACCGGCAAAATAATGGTTAAAAGTTAAGTGCTTTAATCAAAAGGACATTCCTTCACTTGTAATGCAAATACGATAAAAGGCGTCAAAAAACTTCCGTTAATCAGAATTAGTCAAGAACATTACAAAGCGAGTATTGTTTTCAACTATGGTGCCACTAGTTCGAGTATCACCATTTCTGTTTTGGTTTTGACAGTCAGATACTATCTTCACTACTCACACAGGAAATGGAAATAAAAGCATGGCGTACAAGCGTATTCTAAAGTACTGAATTGTGAAACGATCAGTTCTTGAAAGAATTAAAGTAATACATATCTTATTAAAGCCGTTTTTAAATAGGGTTGGTTCCATAAAAACTGCTAACAAGACTGATGGTTTCTTGGTTGATGAGACTCTAACTCTTTTAATTTAAATGATGATAACTAAATGACTGGTAAAAGACAACTAATGGTTATAAATTTGTAGCTCTCACGAAAGGAAGCCATTACGTCTCAAAAAATTGTAGCCCGATGAAATAATAGTTTTGTACATGTAACCAATAGTGGACAGGTTGTTATTAACTAGCCGGTCAATTTAATTAAACTTTGTATCTTGTCACCTGGTCTTTGCTGAAATGTTTCTGTTCATAAGATTATCTTGACGACTGTTACGGTATATCATTTTAGGTTTGTACACATATGATCTCTGAAACTTCACCTGATGACGCTTTACCCCCATCAACACCATCATCCACTATACCAGTTACACCTGGTACCTGTCCAGAAGGCCAACTTGTTTATGCCGATGTAGCTGCTGCTAAGCAAGATGGGAAATATCTGGTCAATCCGAAATGGTTAACTTCATGTATGGTAGCCTGTTGTAGATTACCTGAGAGTGATTTCCCTCCTACATGTTTGGATGGAAAAACATCTGTTAGCACATCTCCAGTAGAACCACAACCAAAAGCAGCACGAGTTGGTAAGATTTCGACTTTTTTAGTCAAATATTTTAATGGATTTTATAGTGTTCATGTTATAACGTGTAAGTGCGTGAGTGCCCTGTTTGATATATAAAGGTGATAAGACCGCCAATGAGAGAAGAGCGAATTATCGATCGGAGCAATAATACACAAAAGCCGTATGAACAGTCTTGAGTACTTATCAGTCCTGCTTTCTGTCTAGCCCAGCCAGTTAAGTCCAGAACACCAGTAACAGCCTCTGCAATATGAATCATTATTCGCAAATACACTGGGTTTATATACCAATCAAACAGACTGCATCGTACCATAAAATAGAAAGTAACATTTGTACAAGATTTGGCCAAATGTGGCTATGAATAGGGGGAACAGTAATCAATATACTGGAGATAACTCAAGAATAGTAAATCGTATAATAATAGTTCATAGGTCAAAATAAAGCTTATAATAAGAGGAACATGAATATAAGTAGTTAAGTTGTTGCGAATGAGAACACAGGTGAGGACAACCAACTATGTATTTAGCACAAATTACAACGTTACTAGGTAAAATACAAAAACCATGCTATGATACACTATTTGCAAAATGTTCTTCAATTGCCTCAGGCTTCATTGTTCCTGGATTTCCACACAAATTGCTTTTATTTTCTGTTCTTCTCTTCTTGATCTTCTCAATCTTCTGCTGTCAGATATTCTATTCCTTACTCACCATATATACTACTTATGTCGATATCAGTAGCTCACACCACACTCGTCCCCCCTATAATAAGCTGTTCTCGCAATCTTTCTGATCGCCGTACCATTGTCTCCTTTGGTGCTGTTCGTGACTCGTGCTCATGATGTTCTTGAAACCATCTCTGTAGTTGGCTGGCATTTACACGCTTCTGCTTGTCTTCTCTCCGGATCGTGTAAACTGGGCCGCGTCTCTCCGTGATAATGTACGGTCCCTCCCATTTCGGGGTCAGCTTTCCTGACCCTGGTCCCCCTTCAGTGTTAGCTCTCCGTTCTCTACACTTTACCAGGTCCCCCACTCTAAAAGGCTTCCATGCTCTTCTCTGCTGTTCCGCCTTCTTGATGTCTGATATTTGTTTCTTTTTCACGTTCTTTATTGCCTCCGTCCGCTCTCTCTTTCCTTAATCTTGTTGCCGTCCACTTCTGCTGCTGTGGCCACGTCTTATTATGCATCGGAAGTCGTGGCTGTCTACCATACATAAGTAGGAAAGGTGATTTCTTAGTTGTTCCTTGGATGGAGGCACGATGCGCCAGCAAAATTAGTGGTAACTCTTTCTCCCAATTCCCTCCTTTAGATGCTAACCATTCCTTTAATGTCCGGTTGTTTCTTTCCGTAAGCCCATTCGTCTGAGGGTGATACGGTGTAGTTCGTATCCTCTTGATACCGAACTGCTTTAAACGGGCCTTAAACTCGTCACTTTCAAAACAGGGACCCTGGTCGGTTAGTATCATCTTCGGTACTCCATGACCCGCTACAATGTGCCGGATTATTACTTCAGTCACTGTTTTCGCCAGCTGGTCGGCAATCGGTACAGCGTCGACCCATCGTGTAGCATGTTCTGTCATTACTAGTAAGTATCTGTTGCCGCTATCCGTCTGTGGAAATGGTCCCATCACATCTACCGACCATAGATCACCAACTGCGGTTACTGGGACCGACTGCAATGGCGGTTGCATGTATCTATCGCTTTTCATTAATTGGCACTGCTGGCACGTCAACACATATTGGGCCACATCGTCTCTCATGCCTGGCCAGTATGCACTTTGCCGTAGTAAATCTGTCGTTCTTGCGATACCTGTATGCGCTACCTGATGGCATTCGTGTATCATCTTACGCTGCCAGTCTTTCGGGATCACAGCCACCCAATTTTTGTCATCATCCTGCCAGACCAGAGCTCCATATGTGTTCACTTTCAGTCTTTCCTTTTGCCGAAGCAACATTATTGCCTCCTTGTCCATTGCTCGTTTGTCAAAATCTGCCCCCTCTCTTATCACTCTGATTACCTCTCGAAGTTTAGGATCAGATTTCTGTTGCCGGACGAGCTCTAGTGGGTCTCCCTCTATACTGTTCACTGCGTATGCTGTCAATGGAAGCTCGGCTTCCATGTCTGGTCTTGACAGATAGTCTGCCATTACATTTTCCTTCCCTGGAACATGCCCGATACTGAAGTCATACTCCTGCAGACGTATCATTCACCGCGCCAACTTCCCACGTGGGTCTCGTGCTGTTTGTAGCCACTGCAGAGGTTTATGGTCAGTCTCGATGTGAAATCGTTTACCTAACAGATATGGTCTCCACTTGTCTACTGCCCACACAATCGCTAAACACTCCTTTTCGATCGTTGAATACTTCTGTTCCGCAGGCGTGAGAACGCGACTTGCGTATTCCACCACTCTATCAGACTGACTTAAAACTGCACCTATACCCTGGTCACTTGCGTCTGTTGTCACTGTAAACGGTTTCTCCAGTTCGGGCAGTCTGAGCGTCATCTGGCGGTCGTCCAGCATGTTTTTGATTTGATTAAACGTTTGTTGGGCGGTTTCAGTCCACGAAAATTTAGTGTTACTCAACAACTTATAAAGGGGTGTTGCTATTTCGTTGAAATTCTTGATGAACCGACTGTAGAACGCCGCCCTTCCCAGGAACTGTCTCAATTTCCTTTTCGAATTCGGTACTGCAACGTTCTTTATAGTCAGAATTTTCTCCGGCAGTGGTTTTATTTCTCCATTTCCCACTTTATGCCCCAACAACGTGATGCTACTTTTCGCCATCTGTGACTTGTCCTTATTAATTCGAAGTCCGAATTCTTCAATTCGCTTTAGGACCGCTTCCACATGCTTGACATGATCTGTTTCTGTCTGGCTGTATACGACTACATCGTCGCCATACACTTCGACGTTATCTAGATCCCTGAGCAGTAGCGACATTAATCTTCTGAACGTAAATGGCGCACCCGCCAATCCAAACGGCATTCGTCTAAATTGATATTGTTTATCACGTATGGTAAATGCTGTCTTGCTTCGATCGCTCTCTTTTATAAGCAGCTGCCAATAACCTGACCGCAAATCCAACACTGTAAACACCGTGGCATTCTGCAGCCGATCTAATGTTTCCACTACTGTTGGCATTGCACACGGCTTTAGTTCTGTTATATTATTCAGCTCTCTAAAATCAACACAAAATCTATATTTCCCATTCGGTTTCTTTACCAAGAGTACCGGTGAGCTATACGGGCTGTCCGCCTCCTCAATTATTCCTTCTTTCAGCATCTCTTGGACCTGTCGATTTACTTCAGCCTCTAAGTGCACAGGGACACGACGTGTTGTGAATATACTTCCTCCATTGTTCTTTATCGGGATTTCGTGCTTTACTTTGTCGCAAAATCCGTACGGTTCTCCTTCAGGAAGCTCAGCACATCTCCGTCCTCAAATTCCTTCGGCCATGGAATCTTCATCCTTGGAGGCAGCGACACCAAATGTTGCGAATGAGAACACAGGTGAGGATAACCAACTATGTGCAACGTTACTTGTTAAAATACAAAAACCATGCTATGATACACTTTTTGCAAAATGTTCTTCAATTGCCTCAGGCTTCATTGTTCCTGGATTTCCACACAAATTGCTTTTATTTTCTGTTCTTCTCTTCTTGATCTTCTCAATCTTCTGCTGTCAGATATTCTATTCCTTACTCACCATATATACTACTTATGTCGATATCAGTAGCTCACACCACAAAGTTACTTAGCAATTATACAATAGGAAACATACATATTACATTGGTCCATAAATAGTCCTCAAAGTTACCATTCATAAATCTCCACTGGATACACCAGTTCTCTGGTGCGTAGACTGAAGTTTCTGGTTGATATTGTGTTAAACTATTTTATTTCCCGTTTGTTAGCTTATCGAAAAACTTGAGATTCGTATAAGTTTTTTTTTAAATTTTTTGTTAAGCATTATTAGCTCAAGTTTATTTACTTTTCTTTTCTGTATGTTGTACTGGAGTCGCATCATCTTTATAATTTGTATGATACAGAACCATGATGAAAGAGACAAAATGATGGCTTGTTTTGCTATTTTTGTATATTTCTTAAAAGTGGAGTTGGAGATTATTGTTCTCGCTTTAGCTTCATTAACTAACTGCTTTTTAGATAGTTTGATATATTCTCCCATAAATGTAGAGGATGCATAAGGTCTTTGAAATGATTGAGTCTACTAAATGAAAATCAACAACTGTATACAAGTTATTTTTTAGTCTACGAATGACGTCTTACTCACTGTCTTCTCGTGGCTCTACTGTTGTTTACGAAATTGAGAGGACGAAAATCGAATGTCCGGCGCTTTAATCAGGTTGGTGGACACGGAGAATACAGCTAGGGGAGTTGTAAAACCCTGATTCCAAACCAATGATGCACATGGGCTGGCTCCAGTATCCTGAAGGAACAAATGGCGTATGAACCAATTGTTGGTCACCGGCTACCATAGGACTGCATCTCCTCACGATGCTCCACTGCCTTGTGGATTAGAACTTTAGGTCAAAGGCTCCGGGTGTGGCCCCTTAAGAAAACCACCTGTTTCAGTTTGGGCACTTGGGCAGTATCACAACCCCCACACAAATCAAATGAGATTTGTGTGGCGCATATATATCTGGTGTTTCCTTGTACCAATATTTATGTGTTTAAATAAAATAAAATCAGTCAGTCAATCACAAGGTAGAACTTCGTACGTATGTACAGCAGTTCGAGTTACCATACCACATTAGCACAGAGATGCAGTTATCGATTCAAATCCCATAGTGGTAGAAGTAGTAGAAGTATAATCAGAAATCCAAAATATTAGGGTTTTAAGAAATTATTGAAGGAGTACAGTGAAATAAATTTGAAAAGAGAAAAAGATAAAGACATGAGGAATTCAGAAGATTAGAATTTGGCAGATCACAAAGAGTGGATGTACCTTCGCCATTCCAAACGATTTTGAGCCATGTCATTCAATAAAATAAAATAAACTAATTCAAACCATATTTATACGACATGATTTTCTGGAATTAGTCTGATAAAATAGTTTTAAGTTTGCGAACGAATACCCATTCCATTGAGCTACAACTGCATTTAAAACTATTTTTCGTCTAACTAGTTGTTCTTGCTTTCACTAATTAACTTTCTATCATAATGGTTGATAATATAATACCCCGGCACCTTGTCACAAACTGATCACCTCCGCTTTTTTCAACCAGTTTCAGCGTCGGCAGATAATGCACGACGTAGGATTCGCTGAGACGAATTCCGTGGTACATGTCCAAACCTCCGAAGCCGTTATTTCAAAATCGAATTATCGTTACTGTTCCTAAATACGTTGCCGAATTTTCGGATTACTAACATGGTGTTTTCATTAAATGTCAACCATCCTTTGTAGGCAATTATAATCGAGGACAGAGTTGCCTATCATCCTCAAATCGGAGAGGCCATATTTCTCAGGCATAAAGGAAAACTGTTGTCACTGACGAGCTCTAAACCCGAACTTCTACAGCAACACTAACATGGCGAAGTTGCCGAAGATGTTCCAGATTAGCATAAACCGCTCTGGTTTTCAATTTACATGAATTAATTTAATCACTTAGACCAGCATCAGCACTTATATAACTACACAGATACACATACTTCTCAACCACTTCAAACTGCTCACTGTCAAGTGTGTGTGTGTGGAAGCAAATGCTCTTTTCAGTCTTGTAAAAGTACTTTGCATTTGGAATGTGCGAAGCACATGGCATACCTATGGATACGGAATGCCAATTGACTAAATGCGGATTGCATGACTTGAGTGTCACCACACAGTAAGACAATATCATTTACATACTCAAGGTTAAAAGTCTTTCTACAAGTAATAGATTCTTACCTTCAGTCAGTACTTCGATAAGAGCTGTTTCCAGAATATCATCGATGCGAAAATTGATGAGGAATGTAAGGTTAGGCAAATCCACTGTCCGAACGGGACAATTGGAAAAAGTGATTGCGCGACCTTACTTTACATAAAGCGTATGTATAAAGATCCTTCAAGATGTTAGTAAACTTTTCAGACATACCCTTCAATAAACAATCCCAGAAAACTGTCCTGTGCAACAAATTGAAGGCGGACGTGATATAAAAAAGACGAATAATGTTTGCTTGCAGTAAGTATAACGGTGTTCTAAAATTTGACAGAGGGTGAGGATATGATCGATACATCCTCAACGAGAATGAAAACCGGCCTGCTCCTCGTAAGTCAATCTTTTGTGGATTTTGAATAGTCTACGATGTATGACGAAAGCCAATAGTTTGGGTACAGTCAGAAGTAGACTTATCTATTGATAGTTGTTGCATATGTGATTTAAACCGTTTTTAGGGATAAAGATGACTGTAGCCTCATTCCAGAATCTCAGAATCCTCTAATTACTAAAGTATGATAGGCTCTCCCCACCCTCATCTATAACAATGGAGTTGGAGGCTTATGAACTACCTAGTTTTAATGCATAATTCTTGTTGTTCTACTTTTTATGCACAGTCATTTCTAAGCCAATATACTGATTCCATTTCAAATAATTGTTAACGATATGGGGAATTTATAGGTTTTCTCTACTTTTTTTTTAACACTTAACCTGTCTAAAGTTCTGGAATTATGTTCAATGTCCTATAAAAATAGAAGGTTATATATCCGTTTGGAATTTCGGTCTCCTTTTTTAGACAGTCATAAAATTTTATTTTATGTTTTATACAAGAACTTTATTTAGAGACTATTCATTTTTTTCTTCTTTGGTTGATAGTTTCCTGCCAAAAACTGAGTTTATCTAAGTGGTGAAATTGTAATTGTTTATATATATATATATATATATATATATATATATATATATATATATATATATATAATGAACATATTAGTGTTGTATGCATGTCACTTGGGCTTCTCAGTGTTTTATGGATCACCAAAAGCTGAAGGTAATTTATATTCATCCGTATGTTTCTATTGTATACACAGCTTCTTTAAATCTTTTCGGAGATGTTAATCGTCGATTGGGAATGATGATTGCTGGGAATAAAAGTAATTGCTTTCAGAATGGATTTAAAAATAATTTCAAGGAAAATATGGATCCGACTACCAACACCGATCAACAGTTTTTAAATAAGGAAGACCGAAATTTGGAAAATGGAGAGTTTATAGATTCTCAATTCCCATCAGTTCCTACGGGTCATAGACGTCTTAGACGAAATCCTCGTCGTAGCAATTATTCAACTACTAATCGTTCAGATACTACTATAACTTCTCATGAGTCCAAATCGAACAACGATTATGATAATGATAGATCAAAGGTAGGGAACTCAAACAATCCAAATAATAATGTTGATTTGGTACAACCTGGTCAAATGATCATGGTGAGTAAATATTACGTTAAGTGTTTATTTTTTTAAAAAGCGCTTAGGATCCATGTATAGGTTACGGTGCATCACTAACTAACATTTCGAATAATAAATGAATGGGAAAAAAGTAAATATATAGTTGTCAATTTTCTGTGAATCACAAATGCTCAGTCAGTCAGCTAGAACGTAGGACCAGACACATATATGCATCGGTCTAAGTCGCCATACCTCGTTAGCATAACAAGATGAACACCGAATTCATAGACGTAATTAATTTAGTGGTGATAGTATATAAAGAAAGGTTGTATATAAGGATATAGTATAGGAAGGAAGACAGATATGAAGCAATTTTAGTGACTTCAAGCACTGATGCCACGTATTGGTTTGGCCGCCCTTAACTCTCTTCCAACCACTCCCAATACTAGTCAGCATAGCGCGTCGTGGTAATCAGTGTTCAGGCATACGTAACGCGTGGCCCAACCATCTCAGTCAATGAAGATTCATCACCTCATCAGTTGATTTACCATCATTCCCTAATACCCTGTATCTAACCTCACTATTACTTAACCGGTGATCCCAGGAGATGCGAGCAATATTTCTAAGGCATCTGTGGTCAAATACTAGTAACTTACGAGTATCTTCTACTCTTAATGGCCATGTTTCACAACCGTAAAGTAGAACAGAGCGAACTGCTTTGCAGTATACTCGTCCTTTAATTGATAGACGGATACCTCGTATAGGCCATAGGTGACGTAAGTTGGCAAAAGCCAAACGAGGTTTTTGAATCCGTGCTGAGATTTCGTCAGACACCAATCCATTAGGGCCGATCAGACTTCCAAGAAGTTGTCAACGCGTTCGACTACTTCACTCCCTATCCTTAGCTCAGATGTTGACGCAGACCAGTCCTGGAGTAACAATTTACATTTAGATGGGGAGAAATGCATCCTAAACATCCTGGCATTATTACTCAATTCTAACAGAAGACTCACAAATACTAGTCAAAAGGCTTAGACTTCCTGAATTAATTTAGAACATTAGTTGTCTTTTGGCTAGTCATCCGACATTTATTTTAATTATCTGTAAACAAGCGTACGTACGTACGAACTAACCTAGCACACAACTCAAGAGTTTGTAAACAGTATACAAATGTCCTTGGGAAAAGTCAAAAAATAGCGTAATAAAAAAGGCAACGAACCGATGACATTTAGGCTCCTTCCAAGCGGGAAATACAATCCGAAAGTAAAAATTGGACGCTTTTAGCGCAAAAAGGAGAAGTTCAAATTTCCAAAATAAAATTACAAAAATAAGACGTTAATTGAGAGATTTCTGGAGATCTAGCATCCCCAGCATAAGTACCCATAAAATCAGTAAAGTTATTCTATGGATAAGGCACTTTTGTGGTAGCTGCCTTCAGAAGAGAATACGACACTTACAGAAGACATATTATTGTTTCAGTTGGCGATATCTTGATATTTCCACCGTTATATACTTTTGACCACCCTAACAGACGACCTCACCCGAATGAATTTTTTAAAAATCACTGATGAATCGTAATAAAATTTATTATCTATCATAATTTAATTGAATGGTAACCTGCTAATCTGGTTGTTGCCTTAACATTGACGATCATATGCTAGATTAAATAATAGATGAATTCATTTTTACTCCATTTGATGTGTTTTCTTACAAATAACTAACTAGTGCTGACGTCGACAGGTAATATTCTAGTAAACTAATTGTAGCGGAACTTTTCTCTCATGACATAGTCGAAGGTCGTATGCGTCTGAAATTGAACTGTAAACAGTCACCTTAGCTCCTATTTTGACGTGTCTGCTATACTTTCCTTTGGTAACAACCTAGTCGAGCTATGTGTTATAATACTTGTTTCTTGAGGTCCTACCATCCAAGACATGTCGATCGAATAGCAATAAGACCAAGAATAAAGTGAAGTAGTACTCCAAACCGCGATTAGGTGTAACGACAGTAAAGTGTTTTCCATAGGTAACCAGGACCTTTACCTATTCTGTCTTTCCACAATGAAAGATGGAATTGGAAACGATAGCCCCCTGAAGCAGTTCACCTCACTACCATCCCAATATCTGGACCGTACACCTAATTGGTCAACAGGTTTTATTAGCTAGAATTTTAGAATGTTGTTCCGCCAATTTATGCTGTCCCTCTGAAAACCTTAAATAGAATCCTAGCATAGTTTTTCACTTGACCTTACCTAGATAAAGTAGGTTCTATTTGATGAGAGCACCCGAAGAATACAGTTTTTTGAATGCTTTGCGAAACAATGTAAGAATGTTTGCGATGCATTTCTTTTTCTCTCTCCCTAAACATAAATTGTTGCTTCGTGACTGTTCTGCATCATCTTCTAGGCTTAGGGAGTAGATTAGTTGATCACTTCATCTAATTTGGAAGCTTCATCAGTCTCATTGGGTTGGTTGTTTACTCACTTGTAAGGGAGAATAAACAAGACTGTACACGCTGGTGGTAACTTGTTAATTTAATTAATTATATATTACGGTTTCCAGGTGCGCAATATTGAGGTTAAGTGCTTGGTTTGTAATAAGAACGATGATTCGGTAAGATCTCGAACTTGTATCAACTTAAGTGACGCATTTATGTTACATGTTTAAAGCCAACCTCTATTCCTATTTACGATGCTGAACTGACTAAAAGTGAGTTGAAGAAAGGCTAGTAGCGACTGGATCAAAAATATGTCATTAATCCTGTAATCTATCTCTACTGTTCTTGCAGGTTCGGTGGAAGTACGAAGATGACACTCCACATCAGACGACGACGACAACCACAACAACTAGCACTGATCTTGTAATTTCAAAAGCAAACTGCGAAAAGAATCAGTCTGAAAATAAAATTGAACAGACATTATTAAGAGAGAACATTACACAAAAGTAAGCCTACATCTAGATTTGTTCAGTGTCATAAGATAAAATTGTTATTTTCAAACGACTGACGAATATTTCTGATTTACTTCCATAGATCAGATAATCAATCATCGTTCAAATCACCGATACAAAAACAACAACAGCCACAACAACCTGATTGCCTATCACCTAAACGAAACTATATAATCTCTTTCACTGGCCTGTCATTAGAAGAACGAGATCGCTATGCGGAAATTGTAGAGCGACTAGGTGGAGAAGTAGATAATCTGACTACGTTAAGCGAGAAAACTACACATCTAATTGTGTATGCACCAAGTAATTATTTTTTCAGTTACTTAATTTTTATTTGTGTGGTGCATGTTTTACATCAAGTAAAGAGCTTCAGAAACTTTTGTGAATCCATACCAAACTTAATAACAGATTGGCAGTCAGTTAAACAGATTACGTTAATCTAATTGTCGCTAAAGTAGAGGAATTCTGAGGACTCGATCAGCATTTGTTAGGTTTGGTCATTGGAATAAGTCGTTGTCTAGACAAGGTGTGTAGCGCCAACCAGTCAACATAAGTACAAGGTAGTTCGTTTGGCTTTGAACAACTTACGATATGCATGATATCTAAGTGTCAAAAGTGCCCATATACGGTGCACCGTAGTATATTTCTCTTACTTTACGGCGAAATGCAAGTATTCTATTCTAAATGTTTACAAAGCATTGTTTGTTTGTGGTGAAATGACCAGGTAAACTTTCACTATGTTGGAGACCATGAACAGTAAGAAAAAGTTCACATTTGATTCCCCATCTTCTTATTTCCTGTTTTTAAGGTTTGTAGCTTCCATCAACACATTAATATTTTCATAGTTGAAAGCGTGAGTCAATTGAAGCTAGACCACCAGGGACAACCTGGAAGCACCGGACGGCCGTTTCGTCCTATTATGGGACTACTCAGCAGTACTCATCCATGACCTCGCCTCGCGAGATTCGAACCCAGGACCTACCAGTCTCGCTCCAGGGCACTTAACCGGCTCAGTGGTCTATCGGTTAAGTGGTGGTCTAGCTTCAATTGACTCACGCTTTCAATTTTCAATATATTATATTGTTTTGAATATTCTCTGGAAGGAAAATCACAATTCGCCCTTACGCAATAGTTTTTCGGTAATTATTGACTGCATTGTTTCTTCAAAGAAGCATTAGTATAATTTTGACCGTAGATCTTTTTCAATTTTATTTTCCATAGCACGAAGCGAAAAATGCCTTATCTGTCTCGCTTCTGGCAAGTGGATGTTGCACAAATCCTACTTAGACGCATGCTCACGGGAATCCTGTTGGGTTGATGAAGCAGCATATGAGTGGGGTGGTCCTGGTACTGAGCCCTTATTGATGCAGTTAAGTCCGTTTCCTTGTCCACCCGGTGGTCCTACATTATCACATCAACAGAAAGCTGCTCAGATTAGAGATCTAGCTAGATCTGCACGTCGTTGGCGGTTGTCTGGAGGCAAAGCATTTCATAATTGGAAGGTTATTTTTGGACCTGGTTGTGATAAAGAAAGTAGTTTTAGACGTATTATCGAAGCTGGTGGAGGGAAAGTAAGCGAAAAGCGTCTTATCGCTTTGATTATGTTTGTGTTTATGATAAATGTACCGTATGGATCTGGCAATAATCGCCTTACATCCTTTTTTACTTATATGATAAAAATCCCCATACAATAGGACATCGAAAATATGCATCACACAGTGAAACTATAATATGGTAAATAAATAGAATAGCATGGAATATATAGATGGACAAGAATATTTATTAAGTAATTCAATTCAAGAAATAACAGATAAATTTCATTTAGAAAGTGGATCTTGCTTTTATGAAAATCCAATTGAAAACTACAAGGTCACTGCGGACTTTTATTCTAAACTTAAATCTGATGACACCTCAAACACATTGCATTATATTCGAAATCCTCTCTGCAGATTCGTGATGGACCAACAGATGATAGTTGTATGAACCCATATTTCATTTCGCAGTCCCATGTCTTGAACTGACTACCTATCCTCTTTTACAATTGGACTGAGCCATGTTGGTAGGTGTAGACTACCTGATCGGGATCTGCAAGACGATAGCAACCGATGATTAGAGACCTTGAATGACATGGTTCAAAGTCGTTTGCAATGGCGCAGGTGCATTCATTTGTTGTGTTCTCACAAATTCTGATCTTCTGAATTCTTCATATCCCTTTCTTTTTTCTCTTTCCAAATTTATTTCACTGCATTATACTCCTTGAATAACATCTCCGAACCCTAATCTTTCCGATTACTCTTTATATTCTTACTACCTCTATCACTATGGGATTTGAATCGACAATTGTATCTCTGTGTTAATGTGGTGTGGTAACTTGAACTGATGTACATATGTACGAAGTTCTACATTGTTGCTAACTGACTGATTCCTGAGTCTTTAATCCAAAGTTTGTTTCTAACCCGACCGTTGCTGCCACCTTGACGTGGTGGTCGGGCTTGCCTATCGTGATGAAGCAATCGAGCTATGCTGGCTGGAACAATCGTTCCTCGAGGTCCTACCATGCCAGGCAGGTCGGTTGAAGAGCGGTGAGACTAAAAGCAGCAAACCCAAGGTCCGAATGCGAAGTCGTACTGTCGACTGTACAGAGGTGTGACAGCAGTAAGGTGTTTCCTTCAGACAACCAGCATGACAGCGATGCTGCCTTCCCACAAGGAGGGGTGGGGTTAGAAAAGGTCGACCCTAAAAATGCACACCTCGCCCTATCCCACGGATATCCGTCTCCGGCGGTAAGGTTTTTTTTGAAGAACGGAGCTAGCACAAAAACTACCCACGAAAAGGTCGTGTGTGACCGACCTCAAGCAGTTGTCCCTTGGGCACTGCGGTCACGCTCTCAGGTCATTAAGACCACTTCTAACCCAATTTCCTTTTCAGGTACCCCCAGGAGAACCCTTCCACGGTGTGGGCAACCGGGAGGTGATAACTGCCCTCATACCCCTAACAGCACTCAAGACCACAGTATTCATAATCAACCTCCTTCAATTCCTACTATTCCTTCTACCTTGACTTTCAACACTAAACTTCCTGTTCCGGTTTCCTCCTCAAGTGTCACCATGGCTAACGATTCTAGTGCGCGAAACGCTGTCCCAGATCTACTTAAACCTCGCTCCAAACTACACATTGGATCCTTCAACGTACGTACCCTATGCCAAATCGGTTAACAGGCCTCCTTAGCTAAAACCTTAGAATCTCGTACCATTGATGTATGCTGTGTCTCCGAAACACGCATACAGGATCCCAGTGTGGTCATTCACTTGACCTCACCTCGCCAAAATGGACAGCCAACGAAATACACCCTCCGTGTATCTGGCGACCCGTTGGCTAGTTCTCGCGGACTTGCAGGTGTAGGTATAGCACTAAGTACAAGGGCAGAACAGGCACTATTAGAATGGATCCCCGTTAACAGTCGCCTGTGTGCTGTCCGGCTGAATGGCTCCGTAAGAACTCGGAAGGATAGGGACACACGTCGTTGCCTTTTCGTCGTTTCTGCCTACGCTCCCACTGACTGCAGCCATGATGAAGTGAAAGATGACTTTTACAGAAAGCTCTCTGAGCTTCTTCAGAAAGCTAAGCGCTCAGACATAGTAGTCGTAGCGGGTGACTTTAATGCCCAGGTAGGCAGCTTGAATCAAACAGAAAGACATTTAGGTGGGTGTTTTAGTATTCCGGCTCAACGAACCGATAATGGTGATCGTCTGTTGCAACTATGCTCAGACAATCGTTTATTTCTAGCAAGCACTAATTTTAAACATAAGGAGAGACATCGTCTAACATGGCGACCACCTGCACCAAACCAACGATGGACTCAAATAGACCATATTGTCATCAATCATCGTTGGAGAGGCTCAATAGAAGATTGTCGCTCGTATTGGAATACTTGTTTAGACTCTGATCACGCTTTAATACGGGCGCGCATTTGTCTGCGCCTCAATGGACGCAGGAAAAGTACACTAAGAAGACCCATTAGGATTGAAGTGGAGGACGAGAAAGCCAAATGCGAATTCCAGAAACAACTGAATTCACATCTAGGCAGTTCTGTAAACAAGACTGACACAGATGCTGCTTGGAAAGACATACGAACAGCTGTGGAAACGGCAGTAACATCTATTAGTCATTTAAACCATAGGGTTCCAAAAAACCAATGGATTTCTTCTAAGTCTATTTCACTGATGGATTCGCGTAAACTCATCCCATCAGGCTCTGAACATGACGAAGAGCGTAAAGAAATTATATCTAGGTTAACTAAAAGTCTAAGGAACGATCGTGAGCAGTGGTGGGCAACGAAAGCAAAAGAGATGGAAAAGGCAGCGGCTGTAGGGAACACCAGGCAACTATTCAGACTAATAAAAGAAACCGGAATTAAGAAGTCAAGTGTGAGACAATCTCGGAAAAAGACGGAGCCCTTATCTGCTCTCAACCCAAACGTTTAGAACGATGGGCGGAACACTTTAAGGAGCAGTTTAGCTGGCCTTCAGCTACTGCACAACTACCCACTATTCCTAGAAAACCTGAATGGAACATTGAAGTAGGCTCCCCGACCCTACTTGATGTTCAAAAGGCTATAGGTAATCTGAAACGAGGAAGAGCAGCTGGTCCAGATGGATTGGCTCCAGAGGCCTTTAAATATGGTGGTCCAATTTTAGCGATTAGGTTGACTAATATTCTGGCTAAAATCTGGGAGACGGATGTAATCCCATCCGACTGGTCACAATCACTGATTGTCCCAATATATAAGAAGGGGTCAAAATCATCCTGCGATAACCATAGAGGGATTAGTCTGACCAACATAGCATCTAAAATACTAGCCTCAATAATTATCGGGCGCCTAACTAAGACTCGTGAACTGCAAACACGAGAAAATCAGGCTGGCTTCAGACCTGGTCGTGGCTGTATCGACCACATATTCACCATTCGTCAAGTTTTAGAGCACAGACACGCTTATCGGCGTCCGACAATGATAGTTTTTCTTGACTTGAAAGCAGCATTTGACTCTGTAGACCGAGAGGTTCTGTGGCAGTGTCTGTCATTGAAAGGTGTACCTGAGAAGTACATAAACCTTTTGAAGGCTCTTTACTCGAACACTATTAGTCGAGTGAGAGCTTATGGCGAACTGTCATATGATTTTACAACCTCAAGTGGTGTCCGTCAAGGCTGTCCACTATCCCCATTTTTGTTTAACTTCATTATAGACCTGTTGCTGGAAATAACACTATCTTCGACTGAATTTACAGGAATTGATCTCCTACCAGGGGGACCACCAAGCGACTTAGAATACGCAGATGACATAGTCCTGTTTGGTGAAGACGCTGGCAAAATGCAGAGTCTTCTGTTGGAACTCAGTAATAATGCCAGGATGTTTGGGATGCGTTTCTCCCCATCCAAATGTAAATTGTTACTCCAGCACTGGCCTGCATCAACACCTGAACTAAGGATAGGGAGTGAAGTAGTCGAACGCGTTGACAACTTCACTTATCTTGGAAGTCTGATCAGCCCTAATGGGTTGGTGTCTGACGAAATCTCAGCACGGATTCGAAAGCTCGTTTGGCTTTTGCCAACTTACGTCACCTATGGCGAAGACGAGATATCCGTCTATCAATTAAAGGACGAGTATACTGCAAAGCAGTTCGCTCTGTTCTACTTTACGGTTGTGAAACATGGACATTAAGAGTAGAAGATACTCGTAAGTTACTAGTATTTGACCACAGATGCCTTAGAAATATTGCTCGCATCTCCTGGGATCACCGGTTAAGTAATAGTGAGGTTAGACGCAGGGTATTAGGGAATGATGGTAAATCAACTGATGAGGTGATGAATCTTCATTGACTGAGATGGTTGGGCCACGCGTTACGTATGCCTGAACACCGATTACCACGACACGCTATGATGACTAGTGTAGGGGATTGTTGGAAGAGAGTTAAGGGCGGCCAAACCAAAACATGGCATCAGTGTTTGAAGTCACTAACTTCTAGTCTGAGCCATGTTGGCAGATGCAGACTACCTGGTTGGGGTCCACGTGACTATCGTAACCAATGGTTGGAGACTCTAGGTGACATGGCTCATAATCGATCACAATGGCGCAGGTGTATACACTCTTTATCTTCCTTTAAACCTTGAGACTAAAATTGCTTCATATCTCTCTTCCTTCCTGTACTATATCATTATATGCAACCTATAATTTATATACTACTACCACCACTAAATTAATTACTTCTATGAATCCGGTGTTCATCTTGTTGTGCTAACGAGGTATGGCAACTTGGACCGATGCATAAATGTGCCTGGTCCTATGTTGTAGCTGACTGACTGACATTAATAAGATAATTTAGAAACTTACAGTCTGAGAAAAGACAAAGAGTGGATTTATCCGCACCACTGTGGACGATTCTGAGCCACGTCACTTAAGGTCTGCAGCCACTGATCGTAGTTATCGGACCTACAGTCAATGACTTCATAAACTAATACCACTTCTTAGTTTGGCCACCTGTAACAGTCTTCCAACTTCTAAATCAGCCATCATCTCGCATTTAGATACTGGGTGGGTGCGGATACGTAGTACATATCCTAATTATCTGAGTTGATGAAGATTCACTACCTCATCAGTCAGTCTGTCAACGTTGCCTCGTGCTTTGAGTCTCAAAATTTCTATCTCGTAAGTCTTGAAATATGCTAGAAATGCTTCGAAGACATCTATAACCGGATACCAATAACCTACCAAATTACTCTATTTTTAAAAGTTCCAATTCGCAGTCATAATGTAAAATATTACAAAATACTGCACAGTTTCCACGCTCTTTAGTTAACAGACGGACATCTTTCCTACACCTCAAGTGATGGAAACTAACAAAACAATTAGGCTTTTTGAATTCGTGCTGAGATTTTGTTAAACATCAACCTTCCAGGTCGATGAGACTTCGAATATGATTGAAGTAATCGACTCACTCAACCACTTCACTTCCTACCATCAGTTTCAGTGTTGATACAGACCAGTCATAAATTAACATTTTGTATCTAGGTGTAGAGGAACACATCTCACACCTGTTTTTGTGAGAGCGTCATCCATGAAAGAATGTGTGTGACGAAGCTAAATAAGAGGGAAGATGATAGGCAGTCTACTTGATGCTATCAATTCCGATTAGAGTTCTCGTTAATCTGTAAATTGACGAGTAGTTTATGAGTGGATTTCTTGTACAAGGTTGTTGTTGTTGTTGTAGTAGTTCTTTGGTACAGCCTTCAATGACAAATATTGCTATTAACGTTATGGAATTAAGGAGTCGAAGCTGTCGAAGAGCGAATATTTAGTTTTCCCACATTCATCCAGTTCTAAGATCAGGCTGGTGTTACTTTTACCACAAACATGTTATAGATCCACTGTATATTATATTGTTTATATCTATCGAACGGTCACTAATTTCACAGACTTATTCAATAATTGTCCTAAGTATTTCTACTTAATCATAGAGATGGCGTTAAAAACTTCTAATCAATCACTGTTGTTAAGGAGTTTTCTAGATAAATTCACAGGTCAAATCACAATGTGTTTCCTCAGTTTAAGGGGTCAGTTATATGATAAACACATGGTATTTTTACAGGGATAGATGAAGTTTTATTATGGGTAATGTTTATTGACTTTATTTTGAACCTGTAAGTTCATGAAATATTTTGACTCCGCTGTAGACCACTGAGTGAAGTTAGACATTAAGACCGTTGGATGCTGGCTCAGTGGTCTCGTTTAAGACCGTAGGTGTTGGGTTCGTGTCCCGCATGTGGGTTCATGAATGAGCACGACTGAGTAGTCCCATACTAGGACGAAACGGTCGTTCAGTGCTTCCAGGTTTCCTATGGTAGTCTAGCTTATATCTACTCATGAACTCAACTATTAAGTTAGTGATGTGGCACAAAAGTATCTCTTATAACTAATACTTTATTTCTATTAAGTTGCATCTATTTATCTGTTTCCCTTTCAGGTATTATCAAGCAGTCCACCCTATCCTCCTGCTCATGAAGTTACTCATGCATTTGTTAAAATAAATAATAATTCTGCCATCATACCTTCCACTTTACCGCGTAACTACTTATGGCTGCGCATAGATTATCTTTGTTCCTATTTAAGTTCTGGTGAAGAAATCTCAAAATCAGAATTCACTCTTTAATCCATCCAGTTTTACAGCTATTCCAATGTATCAATTCCTGATGGAGATTAATCTTATCAATCAATAAAACAATCAACAAATACTCTCAACTATCCTAGTCAGTGATATCCATCTGCATTTTAATATTATGTTTATTTTTATTATTTAACTTGGTATAATGTCTAATAGATGTTGTTCACTAAACATCATGTCGTGTTACCTTTATTCAATCGACTAAACTCGACTAACAATATACATAAGCACAATGGCAAACATTAAAAAGAATCATTGTTCTATACACATTCGTTGTCTCAATCTAATCTATTATGTAAGATATTCTTTAAATCTTTCTGGTTGACTTATTCCAAGTTATCATTGTATTTAAGTTTCTTAATGCTGTATATGTAGCTAATCTTTTTGGTGTGCTTTTTTTTCTTCTATTTATGACCATTGATTGGTGTAGTCAAATGGTTTATTATTGGATAATGAAAGCAAGTTTATTGTTTGTTTGTTCTTTAAAAATGCATTTCCTATGTTTACTTAGTTAAACTTGTTTTGGTGGTCATAATGAATTGATTTGAAATGAAATTTCCAGTTGAACTCTATTTTATTCATCAGAAGGGGGTTTTGTGGACAATTTAGTAATTTTATAGTTGAGATCATGAGTTAATTGAAGCTAGACCACCATGGAAAACCTAGAAGCACTAGACGGCTGTTTCGTCTTATTATGGGACTCCTCAGCGGGCGCGAGACCGTAGATGCGCACTGCTAAGGAGTCCTATAATAGGACGAAACAGCCGTCTAGTGCTTCCAGGTTTTCGATGTTGGTCTATTTTATTCAACATGAATTAGGTACTTTGGAAATTTTCTGAAGAATCAGTTTGTGTCAATCAGTCGGTCACAACGCAGAACTTCGTACGTACGTACGTACATCAGTTCGAGTTGCCATACCACATTAGCACAGAGATGTAGTTGTTAAATTCAAATCCCATAGTTGTAGAAGTAGTAAGAGTATAAGCATTATGTGAAAGATTAGGGTTTGAAGATGTTTTTGAAGGGGTATAATCCAGTGAAATAAACTTGGAAAGAGAAAAAAACGATAGAGACATGAAGAATCCAGGAAATTTGAATTTATGAGAATACTAAGAATGGATGCACTTTCGCCATTCCAAACGATTTTGAGGCATGTCAGTCACAACGTAGAACTTCGTACGTACGTACATCAAGTCGAGTTGCCTCATCCACATAGTCTGTTAACTTTATTCCTTGGTGTAGGTTATCGACAATTAATTTTCACTGTTGAACGTTTTTTTAAGCTTAAAAACTGGGTTTTTAAATGAATCTGTCTAGCTTGATATATCTTATTTGATCATTTAAGGGTTTCAATAATTTTTGTTTCTGATAAATCTTCTAACTGGAATTCTTGGTTTGGTTGCTATGCTCTTCTAATAACCCCTTGGCTAAATCTACACAGCAACTTGAACATGAGAGAAAAGACGCGAAATATGGGAGAAAACGCTTTACTCCAAAGGTTCGTTCCTGTACAGAAAATCTAGGGTTTTCATAGTATTTTGGATGGGCTTGGGTTCCCGAAAATTTCTGGAATGCTACTAAACTTAGTGGTAGTACGTGTAATCATTCAATCAGAAACTCCGCATGTGACTTTCCACTTCCAAAATGTTTTTGGCATAACTTTTAGTGAATGCTAGTTGAATAAGATGTTTCTCAGTGTTTGCAGAGCCTTTTTTAACGATTTTTCTTGGAGGACTCTTCTAGATCTCCCCAACAGTCTCAGTGTACTGACTTCTTAATTAGTTTTGAGTGTTGCTTCTTTTTTAAACAATCCAATGAACCATACGTGGGTTTTTAGATTCTATAACTTGTCTTAAATTCAGTAGTATCCTAGAGTGATTTTAAACAAAGAATTTCCCATATGTAAATTACAACAAGAAAATCAATATTGTTTTTAGTTGAATCTTCCTTAAGCTTCAATATTTAGTTACATCTATAAACATCAATCAGAAAACTTCCGAATTAATCATATAGACTACTTAACTATTGATAGTTAATAAGAAATCTCAACCAAGAATAATACGTCACTACTCAGGTATCAAGACGTTGATATTTTTATTTTTTTTGTCATTTGGATTCTTACAATTCAATTCTCGTTGTGAATGGTGTTAGTCAGCATCAATCAACCTGAAGGATGACCAAATGAAATTTGTTTCTATAAGGAATCATAGTAAATGCAACCTGCTTGAATATTTGGGCTACCCTGTTGTTCCTACCATCTAGATATTTCAATAAGTTATCTCTTTCCTTGTTTGTTTTAAATACATTATTGTATAACCTATATTTATGTGTTTAAATAGCCCCAAAATGCCCTGGTACGGACGTGAGTGGGGAGAGTCCACTCTCCCTCTCGAAATGCTCTCACGTGGCCAGTGAATATACAGCCTCTGCCAGGGAAGTCCTACTCACTGCCTTCTCATGGCGAGGGTGTTGTTTACTAAATTGAGAGAACGAAAAGCGAATGTCCGGCGCTTTAACCGGGTTGGTGGACACGGCGAGTCCACCTAGGGGAGTTGGAAAACCCTGATTCCAAACCAATGATGCACATGGGCTGGCTCCAGTATCCTGAAGGAACAAATGGCGTATGAACCAGTTATTGCTCACCGGCTACGATGGGACTGCATCTCCTCACGATGTTCCACTGCCTTGTGGACTAGACCTTCATGTCAAAGGCTCCGGGTGTGGGTCCCTAATAAAACCACCTGTTTCAGTCTGGGCACCTGGGCAGTATCACAGCCCTCACACAAATCGAATGAGATTTGTGAGGCGCATATGTATCTGGTGCTTCCTTGTACCAATATTTATGTGTTTAAATAAATAAATACTTTTGAAAAAATATATCTCTTTTTGAACACATAAATATTGGTACAAGGGGGCACCAAATATATATGCACTACATAAAAAAATTGTCATTTAATTTAATTGTGTGAGTGCTATGATACTGTCCAGGTGCCTAGACCGAAGAAACACCCGGAGCCATTGACCTAAAGATCTAATACACAAGACAGTGGAGCATAACGTGGAGGTGCAGTAGCATGATAGCCGGTGACCGACGATTGGTTCATACACCATTTGTTCCCTCAGGAAACTGGAGCCAGCCCATGTGCACCATTGGTTTGGAATTAGGGTTTTCCAACTCCCCTAGGTGAACTTTCCGTGTCCACTAACCCGGTTGAAGCGCCAAACATTCGCTTTTCGTCCTCTCAATTTCGTAAACAACAGTAATGCCACGAGAAGGCAATGAATATTACTTCCCTATCAGAGGCTATATACGCGTGGCCATGTGAGAGCATTTGGAGAGGGATAGCTGACTTTCCTCACTCTCGGCCATACCAGGGCATTTGGGGGCAATTTCATATTATGTTATCTGATATACAAATAAGAATACATTGGACATAGGACGTAAGTATTTTGTTTTGATATACTGTATGTGATAGTATATAAAATATTTTATTTTGACTGAACCGTTGTATTTATTAGATCCGTTGACACAGTGCTGGAAACGAGATTGCACAGTTCTAAAAATGAATTCGTTGAAAAATCTCATTTTATATAAATCAGTATATTCTGTTTGAAATGCATAATTGCTTAATTATTCGTTTCACTACTTGTAAGTAAATCATTTTCGTAATAGAAATATTTAGAAATTGGATAAGACACAGTAGATTATTAAATTAAGTTAATTGACGGCCGTTTTGTCCAATTGTGAGACTTCTCAGCAGTGCGTATCTACGATCTCGCCTTGTGCACTTCTGAGGATTCTCACAATAGAACGAAACGACCTTTCAGTGCTTCCAGGTTTTCCATGATGGTCTAGCTTCAATTGACTCATCATGTCAACTATTAAAATATCATTATTTGCTTTATTCAATATTATATTTTTGACACAGTATAGAATTCTCAGCACATAGTATTTCTGTGAGTTTCGTTATTTCTTGTTTGATCCTGACGATAATTATTGAGTGATCGCCAGTTAGAAGTTAGCAGTTCAGGGAATGGATAATAGATAATAATAATGAATAATAGATATTCTTTTCGAGGTGGTGGAGAAGATTTGTAACTCAGGTGGGTGATTTTGTTGTTGGTTTGGTCGTGGAGCTTTCGTCGTCCTTCTGAACGACATCATCAGCACAAACTTCGGGTAGAAGTCCAGGTCAGAGAACAAACCAATATCAAGATATTCTTTTCGCTGCATATTATCAGCAATCACGATGTGTAGGAAGTCTTCTTTTCAGAATTAGCAATTAGTCCCTTTGATAAATTTTGATAATGTAATAAGAAGACGAAGATTATCATAACTATGTGATGAGATATTAGCGCAATACATTTCGAACAATCTGATCACACACCTAATATACTTGTTAAGAACATTTATAGATAGAAAATTAAAAGGTCATCTAGACAGGTTAAGGTAAGAAATAAACCTTAGTATACGTCCTTGAAGGCTTTTGTATAACATTACAAATGCTGACTTGATGTCAACCTTATGACCAGTTTCAATTAAATGTTTCGAAATGGAGGAAGATGTTTGTCTATCCTGTGATCTTATTTGACTATTGGAATTCATTTAGTTCTGCAGCCATTTAGGTATGTGTTCCGTCACCCTTTATTTGAAGATCATGATTACTTCTCCCTATGTAAATGTTTCCACACATACATGTAAATTGATATACATAATGGGATGTGACACAATCGCTTATGTACTGTTTAGGTTTTTGGTGAAACATCGACTTGTATTTTCAATAATGACAAGTTGAGCTGCATAAAATGTCTTGTTTATGATTAATTTCAGTCTCCGTTTCAACATAAGAATATTTGAATCGCCCTTAAATGATAACATATTATAAACTCGCTTTTTGGGTGCTAGAAGCGTCATAGGTCTAATCGTATTGCAAACCTTCCAGCGGTTTATGAACTTCAATGAATAACCATTATTTATTGACGTATCAGTCAAGAGGTTCGTAAATGTATTGATCACAACCTGATTGAACATACTCACTAAATATCTACAATCTTGACAACTTTATTCAGAGTTGTTAGGCTCATTTTGATATGTCACTTGTATTATTTGGTTATAACAAATAATCGGCGACTAGTTGGACTGTTTTCTAAAGTGTTTTGACTATTAAGGTAATCTCCTGGACTGTGAGTGAATGACAGTTTCATCTTTTTCCGAGATGGTCTCACTAATAGCTGACTTTTGAGCATCTGTTTCCTGACTAGTTCGTATAGTTGTCTGTTGTTGCCTATCACTGTTCACGGTCATTGAGTAAAGTCTTTGTTAGTTCATGTTTGTGTTGACAACGCTTTTAGTTGAGGGTGCGAAAATAAGTCATCAAGTATCTATTAATTCAGTAGATGGCATCAAAATCCGCTGGTTTTTCATAATCTTTTGATATAAGTTGTGGGCAGATGTAAGTATTGTTTTTACGACTGTTTGGATATTGTTGCAAGACCCTTCTCTACGATCATTTAAAAGCCTACCTAATCTTTTAAGTTTAATCTTAACCTTTGTATCGACATCCG